TTGGTGGAAAGGCATGAAACAAGACGTGGCTAAGTATGTTTCAAAGTGCACAGTGTGTCAACAGATGAAGATTGAGCATTAAAAGCCTAGAGGATTATTACAGTCTTTGCCTATTCCAGAGTGGAAATGGGATCACATCACCATGGACTTTGTGTCGGGTTTTCCACGGACTTCACGCGGTCATAATGTCGTATGGGTCATTGTAGATAGACTTACCAAGTCGGCTCATTTCTTGAGTATGAAGACTTACCAATTGATCTCCAGTTTACGCAATAGCAATAATTAAATGAAGTGATAAACCGATTTCCAAGAAATAAACCATTCTAACATTGAACCTAAGAGTCTCAGCTAGTTAAACCGCGTCCAGTAGACTCCCTGTTCCGCCCATCCCCTTCGTCACAATCCACCGTTTGTAACATTACCCATAATGTAAAACAACCACAACTTGTATCTATGAATTTGTACTTGTATCTCAGGCATAATGTATGACATCGCATGAATCGACACATTGAGAATATCCTGGCCCACACTTATACACCCAATCCTCGCAAGGATCTCCAACTTTTAGGAAGGGCGTATACCAACACACTGGCAGTGACGAATCCAACCCAGGAGTAGTATACTAACCTTCAGCCACGATACCCATGAACGAATAGTGGCTTGGTCCTCACAAGGCACCAACCACACTATGAGTAGTAGGAAAAATTCAAACCCACACAGAATAAGAAACGCATCTACCCACTCTACGATACCCGGCCAACAGCCATCCATGGTCATCCCAACATCCTCAAAGAGATACAATTCCCAACAAAATTCTCACATAACAATCCAATTCCAAAATTCGCAAATTTTCATGTAGTATTACAATAAAATAATTAAAAAAAAATAAGCAAGAGATCATTAATAATACCATTTTATTGTTCAATATAAAGCACTAGAGTTTTTTAAATCGAGAACAAAGTAAGAATCAACAGGAAAACCCATTTCTTTTGAAAACTAGGGTTTTATATCAAGAAAAGAGATTTCATGGTTATTTAGCCCTAACTTTGTTTGAAACATGGTAATTTTTTTTAAAGAATATCAAGTATCAAGGTTTTCAATGCACATATATAAACTTTAGAGTCAAAACATGTATACATATAAGCCCTAGCCTCAATGGTCAAAAATGGAAGGAAACTCCTACCTTGTTTTTGTAGTTTGGAAAGAAAGGTAGACAATTTAATCTTTCCCACTTGAATCTTTTGTGTTTTCCCTTCTTTCTTCCTCTCTAAGGTTTTCTAGGGTTAGAAATGTTGAAATGGNCTCAATCCTCGCAAGGATCTCCAACTTTTAGGAATGGCGTATACCAACACACTGACAGTGACGAATCCAACTCAGGAGTAGTATACTAACCTTCAGCCACGATACCCATGAATGAATAGTGGCTTGGTCCTCACAAGGCACCAACCACACTATGAGTAGTAGGAAAAACTCAAACCCACACAGAATAAGAAACGCATCTACCCACTCTACGATACCCGGCCAACAGCCACCCATGGTCATCCCAACATCCTCAAAGAGATACAATTCCCAACAAAATTCTCACATAACAATCCAATTCCAAAATTCGCAAATTTTCATGTAGTATTACAATAAAATAATTAAAAAAAAATAAGCAAGAGATCATTAATAATACCATTTTATTGTTCAATATAAAGCACTAGAGTTTTTTAAATCGAGAACAAAGTAAGAATCAACAGGAAAACCCATTTCTTTTGAAAACTAGGGTTTTATATCAAGAAAAGAGATTTCATGGTTATTTAGCCCTAACTTTGTTTGAAACATGGTAATTTTTTTTTAAAGAATATCAAGAATCAAGGTTTTCAATGCACATATATAAACTTTAGAGTCAAAACATGTATACATATAAGCCCTAGCCTCAATGGTCAAAAATGAAAGGAAACTCCTACCTTGTTTTTGTAGTTTGGAAAGAAAGGTAGACAATTTAATCTTTCCCACTTGAATCTTTTGTGTTTTCCCTTCTTTCTTCCTCTCTAAGGTTTTCTAGGGTTAGAAATGTTGAAATGGGCCTAAAGGAGGTGTCTTTAAGTATTCATAGGGCGAAAAATGGACCACGGATCGCAACTTAAAATTTTTAGGTTTTACTGAGTGTACCGGTATGGTCTGCTCGCTGGACTTCGGGGTACCGGTACGCTGTACCGATACAGTTTTTTCAATTTTGTCTGTTTTGTCTGTTTTTCATTGCCAACCCATTCCCAACCCTTCCAAAGCCAACCCAAACTTATACAACATACTTTTGGACATCAAACATAGTTGGTACAAGTTTGATTATAAAAGATTTCATATATTTTCTTGTTATATATAAGGATACGAGTGTGGAGTTTACAGATAGGGATGTATGTTGCCCTGTTGCAATGTTGTGCTTAGAGGGCGTTGCACCTGAGGGCATCACAACTTAGATGTTGTGCATGAGTGTTATGCCTTTGGGCTTCACGCATGACATTATTATCTACACGCGCCCAGGGGGCGGCGCGCCAAGGGGGCGTCCCGCCCAAGGGAGTCATGCCTAGGAGCATCGCGGCCAGGGGTGTTGCACCTTAGGTGTCGCGCATGAGTGTTGTGCCTTGGGCGTCACGCATAACTTTATTATCTACACTAGTTCAGTTGACGCTGTCAGGGCATCGCACCCAGGGATGCCGCACTTGTCACTGTTATTTATACCAGTCCAGCTAAACTCTGTCGGGCCCCATTTTTATGTCAACTGATAATCGTTGTCACTTGTCCTGTTATGGTGGAGATATGTGTCTTGAAATTTTTCGAGTACTACATTACACAATTCAAAATCAATTTGAAAACACAATTTTCTAAAAAAATTTGACATAACTTCTCTAAAAACATGACTCCTAAAAAATATCAACATATATACAATTTATATATTTAATCATTATACCTAAAAAATATCTTTTTTTTATAAGAGTCGATATTGGCATGTGTGCGTTGGCGGGAGTATAGAGAGAGAGTTATATGAGAGATGAAAGTATGACACAGAGAGAGAGGTTAGAGTTTTAATGAGTATTAAATATATTTTGTTATTATTAGATTAGATATTTATAGAAGCCAAACTTTTCAACTCATATTACTTTATTATTATATGCGTTTAGGATAAAGAGAGAACGCGTGTGTGTGAGTATGAGATATATAGAAAGATAGAGTTCTATGAGAGATAAGTGCATATGTGTTTAAAATGTATTAGAGATATATATATTTATAGGATGACATACATGGGCAAAGCTACACAGGGGCAAGGGTGGAACGGACCCACCCTCAAATTTTAAATAAAATATGATATGTATATTTATATTTATTATATTCAAAAAATTATGCACATATTTTTTACTTGTACTCACTCTATAATTTTCTTATTTCGATTACTTAGTTTTTTTAGTATAATACGTTTTTTTTCAAATGATCTTCATTTTATTATGAATGTTTGCAAGTGAAATAAAATTTCTAGCTCATGACATATGTTTAATGAAACTATAATTTGTTAGAAATATTTTTTGTTATTAAAATTTTAATGGGTATTAGATGTATTTTGTTATTATTAGATATATATAATCGTTCAAGAGAGAGTTACGTGCTAAAGTTCATGTAACTCTTTAATTTCATAGACCATTAGCATGTTTTTAATTTTTTTTTTCAATTGGCCGTAAAAGGTCATAAATTTACATTTATTAAAATTATATTNAATCGTTCAAGAGAGAGTTACGTGCTGAAGTTCATGTAACTCTTTAATTTCATAGACCATTAGCATGTTTTTAATTTTTTTTTCAATTGGCCGTAAAAGGTCATAAATTTACATTTATTAAAATTATATTTAATACTTAAAAGTTTAGTAAACAAAGAAGATTAAAAACCTCTATAAATAACACGAACAAAAAAAAAATTTAAAACTTCTTATTAAGAATGCGACTAATTATTATCCCTTACAATTGATATTTGTATGTTTTTATTATTTGAAAGAGTTACAAATCAATTTTATCAATAATATTTTTTTTATATATAAAGTCGTGATAACAATATTTCATTTATGATCATATAGTTTATTACATAAAAACACACATTTTTATACAATAATGAAATAATCCTTTAATTTAAAAAAATTATAAAATAACCTCAATATGTTCAAAATATATTCAGACATGCCTAAAACGTATCTAAAAACTAACAATAATATTACTTGAACATATTTTGAGATTTAATTAGTGGAAACAATGTGACGCTATTAGATAGATAGTAGAGTTTATTAAATATTCAGACTCACCATTATACTTAATATCACAATTCATTAGGTCTCAATAATACTGTTAGAAAAATTTACAATTATTGAGTTAGAGGTCTATTCAAATCGATATAATCAGAACATAATATTAGGGTGGACACAATTAAATATATCTAAATTTTATTTTAAAAATTACATTTTTAATATAAAGAAAAAAAAAATTGAGGGGGGCTTGTGCCCACCTTAGCCCAAGTGTGGCTTCGCCCTTAGTAACATGTGAGATATAAGAGAGAGAGTATGAAATAGAATGAGAGAGGATTGCATCAATTAGTATGAGATAGGTTGAAAGAGTTATACGAGAGAGATAGGTTGAAAGAGTTATACGAGAGAAAAGAATCTTAAAAAAATTTTGCATGAGAACCATCAGATTAATAATTACTAAACGATCTGAATCGTAAAAAATTCAAGATAAATTTTTCTAACTATTTTATTATATAGATATATTTTTTAAGAAATAACTCTAATTTCGGATGCATTTTTACAATTTTTCATGTCTTATTTGAACCAAAAAAACAGCTACGGACCGCGTTACCTTTCTCCCCCAATTTCTGTACCTCTACCCCAACAACGCCTGCCCCCAAAACCCTAAAACCCATTCTTACCTAACAACTCCAAAATCCATCCCTAGAAATCTTCATCCAAAACTCTACAACCACCTATGGAATCAGCTCTAACACTAGGATCATCCCCCTTCCACCTCATGCCAACCTCTTCTCTCACCCCTCCCACCACCAAACCCTCTACCTTCCCCCACCCACAACCACCATCACTCTCGTCCAACCTCCCATTCCCAATCTCAAAACCCTTTAATCATTCCCAATGTAGGCCCCACATTAGGGTTATCAGAGCCTCCTCTAACCCCACCCACGATCTCTCCTCTCACAATTCCATCATACACAGCCTCAAGGCCACCGCCGGCACCATTGTTTTCGCCGCCACTGCGTTCTCAATCGTCGGAAAATTCCATCAACTTCCGGCAAGAGCTGAATCTCCACCAACTCTGACAGAAGAACTAGATACCCAACAAGAGCAGCAGCCCGAAAGTTCACCGTTGACCCAGTTTCTCGAATCGAATTACGAAGCCATTGAGGCCTTGAAAACATTACTACAACAAAAGCTCGAAGCCGGCGAAGATGAAGAAAGTTACGAAGTCTTGAAAAAGCTGGTTTCCGCCCAACCCGAAAACACAGAATTGAAATTCCTCATGGCAAGATTGTTGAATGAAATGGGTGAAACCCAACAAGCTCGGAACGTTTTTGAGGAGGTTTTGGCTCGAAATCCACTTTCATTTGAGGCATTGTTTGAGAATGCATTGTTAATGGACAGGTGTGGAGAGGGAGAAGCAGTGATAAAGAGATTGGAGGAAGCTTTGAAGATTGCTGAGGATGAGAAGAAGGTGAAAGAAGCGAGAGATGTGAGACTGATAATGGCACAGATACAGTTCTTGCAGAAGAATGTGGAGGAGGCACTGAGGAGCTATGAGGAACTGGAAAAAGAAGACCCAAATGATTTTAGGCCCCATTTTTGTAAAGGGATGATATATAGTTTGCTTGATAAGAACAAGGAGGCAAGGGAGCAGTTTGCAAAGTATCGCGAGCTTTCGCCCAAGAAGTTTGAGGTGGAAGGATACTTGAGGACACCTTTGTCAAGGATGAAGCTGTTTGGGAGTGATGAGGAGAACTGAAACCCGTTCAATGGAATTGGGGTATGAAATTTAGGCAAAATAATTGAGTTAACAGCAAGGGCAATACTGGATTGTTATTGGGTATGCCAGAGGGCATTGTTCAATTTTTTTAGTCAGATTCTGTTATTTTGGTTACACAATTATAAGTTGAGATGCTTCACTGAGGATGGATACTTGAATAATGCATAAACAAGTTATAGTTCTAATAAATTTGAAAGTAAATTTGGCTGATGAGCTTCTTGACTAAAATTTCACTTTTCTGAATTTATGTTCAATTGTTCATTGAATTGGTAGTGAAAGTTATTTCATACATATTTATAATCTTAACTCTCAAATTATTGAAAATTTCATCAGAAGATAAAACCAATGAACAGCAGTGAGAAAAGTGAAAGATTTCTGCTCCAATTGATGACTTGATTTGGTCTGTTGTGTTGATTTGCATTGAGGGTAGTGCTTAAGCTGATATGTTCTTGTTTTGAACCTACTTGATTGTATTGATTGAGAAACTGCAGTTTATAATGCTTTGGTGTAAAATATTTTGTTGTTAAAGGTCAGTGCCATAGAGTGTGGAGTCATGTTTTTACTCTTTTTTTTTTGGTCGGGAGTCATTTTTTTACTTTAGCAAGTTGAAACTCTGCAGTGGTGGAAAACAGATATGTTCCTCAGAGTGAACTACACTTACCAAAATTTCTTAGTGGGATGAATTCTCATGTTCAAGTAGTTTATCCACCCTGTTGCTCGTCTCCTCTATCATTTAGAGCTCCTTTCAATAAGGTTCGGAGCTGAAATCCTTTATAACATGTGCCCATTTCTCTTTTTTTGGCTCATCATGCTATAAATGTTGATCTCTATTCAAGTATGTTATGTACTCATGCACTTGCTTTCGTAGTCGATCAATTCAACAAGATAGTTTATCCTGCAGAATTCAAACTCTTTTCCGTAGAGAAAATAGACCATTTAAGCAGAAAACGTACACAAACTATCTAACATTTGTATAACATATGTATCATGAGATACTGGTTTGTTGTTGTCATTGTAAAGATGCCTCAGCTTGCTGGAAAATGAAAAGGAGGAGGTGGATAAATTAAAAAAGGATTTGCACCATTTTTGATATTGAAAAAAAAAATCTCTTGATGATATAATTTCCAAAGGCGAAATGGAGCACCAGCCACATCTGGTTTCATGGGGTTTATATTTATTCAATACCTAGTCAGGGAACTAGTACAATATATTCCTCTGATTTAGCTGGTAACAATTTAAACCAAGCCGATTTCAACAGCCAAACTCAGGAGAAAATAAACTAAGAGAAAACTCTTCCACAACCAATAATAAACTCAATTTCCTTGGAGGCAGTGACACCTTTTATTGCTGTAAGTAATGTTAGAAAGAAGCAGGGATCTCTTGCTTTATTAGCATCGGTATTAACTGATCTTTTGAAGTAGTTTCAGAAGAACCACTGGTTAAGGTTAATCTGAGAACTGTCAGCAACCCAGCCAATGCAGATACTTGATTCTAGCTTCAAAGGACTTCGGACTTTCGACATATGCTCGTGTTTTCTTAGATTTTTTCTGTTCATTGTAGCCGGAAACAGCAATATGTAAAATCATTCAAGACGTTTTATGCAAAAGTTTACTTATAAGAGACCATAAGGTGGACTCGTCATTGCCTACATATATGTTGAAACCCTGTCTGATAGCTGTTACTTTGTGTTTTATAATATTTGTTGGGAATTGCACCCACCATGTATAGTTGGGTCTGTTGCACCAGAATAAGTAGTAGTCCTTAGATGCAACGGGCCATACATTCTGTCTTCTTATTGCTATATACTGCCCTAAGGATCATTATAAGAGGTGGAACCTGGAGCAATGACAAGTGCTCATGTGCACAATAGATACGCCGTGGATTCTATTACAAGTCTAGGGGTTATTCTCTTGAATAAGGAGGTAAAGTTGTTTATCACTTATCTCTCTGACCCTGACCCTGTTATTGGAAGGAAAGATACGACCTTTTTTATTTTTTTATTATCTAGATGGATCATTTATTCTCAGTTATGCACATACGTGTAGATACTCATTAGATTTACTTAGAAGTAAGTTCCATCATTTGAACTTTTGGCATAAATAACTTGTAAAATGGCACCAGCCACCCTCAATTGAGAGACGTGAGCATGGCCGAGGCAGAAATTTCTTTTATGTGTTTTCCTAGTTATGAAGCTTAAAATTTGTGAAAGACTTCACCTGTTAGTTGGCTGTAACTACAAATTAGCCATGTCTACTAAGTTTTATGATTACAAATTCAGTCTTATTGGTCCTCATCCGTCTAACTAACACGTTGCGGGTATACATCACGTGTTATATACAAAAAATGGAGAAATTCTGGACATCCAAATATAATCTGAAACTTCAATCCTATGTACCTCTTTAATTCCCTTAACAATACAATAGTCACATGAGTCTGAACATTCTGAAAAGCACGTGTACAATAACATGCATTTCCTTATACTTCAAAAACGTAAAATGCCTTGGGTCTCAAATTTATGGGCTCAGCATGTAGTTATTGNAGTTCTAATAAATTTGAAAGTAAATTTGGCTGATGAGCTTCTTGACTAAAATTTCACTTTTCTGAATTTATGTTCAATTGTTCATTGAATTGGTAGTGAAAGTTATTTCATACATATTTATAATCTTAACTCTCAAATTATTGAAAATTTCATCAGAAGATAAAACCAATGAACAGCAGTGAGAAAAGTGAAAGATTTCTGCTCCAATTGATGACTTGATTTGGTCTGTTGTGTTGATTTGCATTGAGGGTAGTGCTTAAGCTGATATGTTCTTGTTTTGAACCTACTTGATTGTATTGATTGAGAAACTGCAGTTTATAATGCTTTGGTGTAAAATATTTTGTTGTTAAAGGTCAGTGCCATAGAGTGTGGAGTCATGTTTTTACTCTTTTTTTTTTTGGTCGGGAGTCATTTTTTTACTTTAGCAAGTTGAAACTCTGCAGTGGTGGAAAACAGATATGTTCCTCAGAGTGAACTACACTTACCAAAATTTCTTAGTGGGATGAATTCTCATGTTCAAGTAGTTTATCCACCCTGTTGCTCGTCTCCTCTATCATTTAGAGCTCCTTTCAATAAGGTTCGGAGCTGAAATCCTTTATAACATGTGCCCATTTCTCTTTTTTTGGCTCATCATGCTATAAATGTTGATCTCTATTCAAGTATGTTATGTACTCATGCACTTGCTTTCGTAGTCGATCAATTCAACAAGATAGTTTATCCTGCAGAATTCAAACTCTTTTCCGTAGAGAAAATAGACCATTTAAGCAGAAAACGTACACAAACTATCTAACATTTGTATAACATATGTATCATGAGATACTGGTTTGTTGTTGTCATTGTAAAGATGCCTCAGCTTGCTGGAAAATGAAAAGGAGGAGGTGGATAAATTAAAAAAGGATTTGCACCATTTTTGATATTGAAAAAAAAAATCTCTTGATGATATAATTTCCAAAGGCGAAATGGAGCACCAGCCACATCTGGTTTCATGGGGTTTATATTTATTCAATACCTAGTCAGGGAACTAGTACAATATATTCCTCTGATTTAGCTGGTAACAATTTAAACCAAGCCGATTTCAACAGCCAAACTCAGGAGAAAATAAACTAAGAGAAAACTCTTCCACAACCAATAATAAACTCAATTTCCTTGGAGGCAGTGACACCTTTTATTGCTGTAAGTAATGTTAGAAAGAAGCAGGGATCTCTTGCTTTAGACAATATTAGCATCGGTATTAACTGATCTTTTGAAGTAGTTTCAGAAGAACCACTGGTTAAGGTTAATCTGAGAACTGTCAGCAACCCAGCCAATGCAGATACTTGATTCTAGCTTCAAAGGACTTCGGACTTTCGACATATGCTCGTGTTTTCTTAGATTTTTTCTGTTCATTGTAGCCGGAAACAGCAATATGTAAAATCATTCAAGACGTTTTATGCAAAAGTTTACTTATAAGAGACCATAAGGTGGACTCGTCATTGCCTACATATATGTTGAAACCCTGTCTGATAGCTGTTACTTTGTGTTTTATAATATTTGTTGGGAATTGCACCCACCATGTATAGTTGGGTCTGTTGCACCAGAATAAGTAGTAGTCCTTAGATGCAACGGGCCATACATTCTGTCTTCTTATTGCTATATACTGCCCTAAGGATCATTATAAGAGGTGGAACCTGGAGCAATGACAAGTGCTCATGTGCACAATAGATACGCCGTGGATTCTATTACAAGTCTAGGGGTTATTCTCTTGAATAAGGAGGTAAAGTTGTTTATCACTTATCTCTCTGACCCTGACCCTGTTATTGGAAGGAAAGATACGACCTTTTTTATTTTTTTATTATCTAGATGGATCATTTATTCTCAGTTATGCACATACGTGTAGATACTCATTAGATTTACTTAGAAGTAAGTTCCATCATTTGAACTTTTGGCATAAATAACTTGTAAAATGGCACCAGCCACCCTCAATTGAGAGACGTGAGCATGGCCGAGGCAGAAATTTCTTTTATGTGTTTTCCTAGTTATGAAGCTTAAAATTTGTGAAAGACTTCACCTGTTAGTTGGCTGTAACTACAAATTAGCCATGTCTACTAAGTTTTATGATTACAAATTCAGTCTTATTGGTCCTCATCCGTCTAACTAACACGTTGCGGGTATACATCACGTGTTATATACAAAAAATGGAGAAATTCTGGACATCCAAATATAATCTGAAACTTCAATCCTATGTACCTCTTTAATTCCCTTAACAATACAATAGTCACATGAGTCTGAACATTCTGAAAAGCACGTGTACAATAACATGCATTTCCTTATACATCAAAAACGTAAAATGCCTTGGGTCTCAAATTTATGGGCTCAGCATGTAGTTATTGCCATTTTACATCATTACATTTCCCTAAATCTTTTCTCCAGCATTCTGCTTTCTCCTCCCAATTCTTTTCAT